TATATTTACACATGGCTTGTGTATATCGTATATATACATATATATTATTTATACCTTCGGTGTATAGGACACAAGCAGATTTTGACATCAAATTTTGGGGTAAAAAAGAGCGTCTTATACACCGAAAAATACAAAGAACAATAAAATTAAGTGATGGCAGTTGTGAAAAGGCTAAGAGGCCTGAAGCTCTTAGGATAAATAATTGTCATTACCCATTACAATCTACAGTCATCCTAGAAAGGAAAAGGGATTTTTGATTTTATTTCATACTTTTGAACTTTACATACAGGAGTTTCTAGAGGTTATGCAAGTGAAATATATAAACTGTAAAATTAAAATAAGTATTTTTATTCTTAGCATAAAATCACCTTTCATTTAGGCTGACTCAATAAAGATTTCATATATTCATAGACGAATCTTTAGTGAAAATATCTTTTTACAGAAATTGGTTGTTTTTTTTTGTACAACAAACTTGTAATGTTTATTAAAATTCAAAGCTATAATATGTATAATTTCATGGTTATATCTTCATTTCTCAGGAAATTAGCTGGTAGTAGAAAATTTTAAGTACTGATGAAATAAATGGTGCTTATGTAAACAATTTTTTGTGTGTTTTAAAGTGTGAGATGAATGTTTTTAATTACTTTAGCATAGAGTCACATAGAATGCCCGTATTAGGAAGTAAAGAAAGATGATTTTCTGACTTCAGGCCTTATTTATCTTGTATAGATACATTCATTATAAGTAAAAACCTTTAAGATCATAAGAAATATAAGTCACAGTTCAGGAAACCTAGTAACAGCTTTCATAAGTTAGCTTTCTATACAGGATGATTGGTACTGAGCTGAAAGTGTAGAAATTAGCTAAACACTGATCATTAAACTTTTTTACACTGTATGGGATGAATGAGGTTGTATGTTCTAAGGTTTGTGATAATTTTACAATGGTTTCAATTGTTTGTTAAACAAAGCAGGAGTTGTGTTTATCTATAGATATTTAAGCATAGAATCATTTAAAAGGTGTATACAAAAAGTCACAGTCCTTTTTGTTGTGAGCTTAATTTTGTATTGGAACAGTTGAGAAGAGTTTCTTTCAAGTGAGTAAGATACTATATTTTTATTAGTATGAAAAATGCCAGCTGTGTCTTTGAACTCTAGTATTTGTGTTTTATGTTATGTGCATTATTTGATATTGTAATGGTCAAGAAGTTTCCTTTTTCTAATTAAGATTTTCCTCAATTCAAGACTAATAAAATAGATATTTCTTTCTTTATAGAATTGGCTCTTGTTACACACAAGCCTCGAGCAGCTTCGGCTTATGCAGTGGGAGATGATGTTAAGTTAGCATGTATGTATGTATGTGGTACTTGATTTGTATGTGCATAATCCAAGTTGTGGAAAATCGATTTATTAACACTAAAATATGCAAAGTAACATTTTAAAAGCTACACTGTGTTCTCTGAATTTATTCTAAATTTGTCAGACATTGTGCTGTCATTGAAAAATACCCTACACAGTTTTGAAATTACATAAAAGAAAAAGTACTTTTGACAGACTCCCTCTGTCTAAGGCATGTTATTTTTATTTTTTCCAACTTTATTGATCATAAGTGATTTTCACTATCATTAATACATAGTTTTTGAATAGTTTTATCAATGCCTTTTGAGCTTGGCACTTCACTGTTAGACTAACTAATGATACTGATTGACATTGTAAACCCAACATTACAAATGAAGGAATGAAACTGATGAAAAGATACTTTTAAACCTGGGTCTATGAAGTACAAGGTGATCCATAATAAACTCCCTAATAAAGATCCAACTTCCATTGTTTAATGTGTGTTAGATGGATTCAGTGATTATGCAAACAAAGGTTAATTTTGAAAAAAGTTTATTGTGTTACTTGTTTTATATACCTTATTAGAGTGTTTTCTATTGATTCTGCCTGTATAATGGATAGTTTCTTTGCAATTGACTAAAACATAAACAATCAGCCACTACAACTAGGGTTGAAACACAAAAACAAACTTGATTGAACTATAACAACCACAGAAGTAAAAAAATCTAACTTTTGGACAATTAGAATACAAAAGTAGTTATATCTTCCTTAAACACATTTAATAAATATTTGCCTGACCAGGACTTGCTATGAACATTAAAGAACAATATACCATCAATATCAGGGTTAATATTTCAATAAATAAATGAATCAGGAAAAAGAACCAGATGAAGAAAAAAACCTAATTCCAAAATAACAATATTCCGTATTTACGTAACTACGAGATCATTAACAACATTGAGTAATAATCAACAATAATACCTTTCATCCATATATCGTTAATTATCTTGTTGAAGATCATGACAGGGTTTTTATTCAGTCACTAGATCATGAGATTGCATCTCATGTGACCATAAATTTACATAATCTTTTGAAATATTAATAATATCTGTATGTCACTGCTAGGGGAAACTGGTGTCAGTCTCATAATACTTACAAACTTACTTAAAATTAACATGATCAGCTAGAAGGTGAGTTAGAACCTTAATGTAACAAAAATCTCACAGCTAAACTAAATGATTGAAGGAATAATAAATGAATGTAAACCATAAAGAAACAAGATTAGAATTCGCTACCTCACAACTTTAAAGGTTTTATTACATGACAGCTCTAAGAGTACGTCATCAAGATGTATAATATGAGTACCTTTATAAATTGTAGTACCATGTTGTTCTGTTCTCAAAATGATATGTTTTGTATAAAATATTATATCGAAATTTAATGAAATTTGTTTCTGATTTGTTTTCACATTGGAAATTTATAAATAAGTTCATGTGAGACTATCAATGGACTATCATAAAAACTGTCTTATTTAAGTAAAAGTAGTATACCCTTTTAAGTGATTCATATTACACAGAAACAGCTTACATTAGATAAAATAAAATATTTAATTTGGGTTCCTGTAATTAAGTATATGTAGTTTGAAAATTATCAGCTTTTGTGTGTATAATACAGTAAAGACTTTATTATATATATATATGTGTGATTTACAAAATATGCATGTACATAAACAGAAGCATTGAGTGGTTAGATTTTGCTGTATATATTTTGATTAACTTTGAGCAAAAGTTGAGAACACAAGTATTTATTC